GTGGCTGTGCTCCTACATAAGGATCCACAGGGTCAGCCCTGCGTGTATGTGTCCAAGAAGCTCACCGACACCGAGAGGCGGTGGGCAATTTGGGAGAAGGAAGCCTACGCAGTCCTCTGGGCCCTCCTCTCCTGGAGATACTTACTTGAAGGAAGTAAAGTACCTTTTAAGGTTTGGATTGATCACAAAAACCTCGAAGCCCTAAAACCCCCCAAAAACCTCTCTCTCAAGTAAGTCCGTTGGGCACAATATTTCAGATAGTTTAACTTCGAGTTAAAATACATTCCGGGAGGGGGGGAAGAATCTGCTGGCCGACACATTTTCAACAAAACCACAGTTCAATAGTCGGAGGGAAGAAGAAATCCATGCTATCATCCTCCCTTCACAAAAAGCAGCGCAAGTCACTAGGGGCCAAGCCAGATGCCAACCTAATCCCGTGCAGGACAAACTGACAGCCACACTGAAAGCAGCGCTCCCAACCGACCAATGGCTCACAGACAACAAAGATGTTTTGACTATGAGAGATGGGCTAGCTTAGAAGGGGTCCAAACTGTATGTCCCTACTAGCTTGAGGCTGGAAGTCTTACAGCGCAGCCATGATTCACGACTGGCAGGTCACTTCGGCTTTTTGAAAACTCTGCACCTGGCCAGAAAACAGTTTTGGTGGCCAAAGATGAAGACCGATGTAGAGGATTAGGTAAAGAGATGTGCCATCTGTGCAACCATGAAGATGAGATCAGGGAAATCTCCTGGACTCTTCCAACAAGAGGCTTACCCCAGCCAGTCCTGGGAGGAAATTGCAATGGACTTCACAGTAGTGGCCAAAATTATGGAAACCTTTTGGGAAAAGTATTTTTGAGGTTTGATGGCTAATAACACCACTTTTGGGGGGGAGTTTCAAGATAATCATATTCCATTGCTGGAATGGCCTGGGAATATCCCAGAACTTAACTCAATTGAAAATCTCTGGAGCCTGTTAGTCAGCAATAAAACCCAGTTAATAGAAGCAATAATTCAATCTTGTTTTCACATTATAACAGCTGCAGAACTAAAGGACTTGGTTCACTCCATGGGAAGACATTGTAAGACTGTAATTCATGCTAAAGGTTACCCAACTAAGTATTAACTGACGTGATAATTTTTGTATATCTCATTTTTTCTACATGTTTCACTTCTTTATACTGTAACTGCTATTCTAATAGCAAATCCTACATAAAAGTTATTGCATTACATTCTTGATTAAATTATCTTTCCATTGATATATAATTTTATGGTACTACCCCAAAACAAGTGGTGTTATTAGCTAGCTTTAGAAAATACACTTTTCCCAAAAGGTTTCCACAATTTTGGCCACTACTATATAGTCGAGCTCCCAGAGAGTGGAGGAAATACATGTTGTGGTCCACCAGAGGCCTGCGGAGCTGGCAGCAGAGTGAGGAGGCTGGGGAGGAACATGGACCAGTCCTGGAGTCTGGGGAAGACTTGGACAAGGGCTCTGCATCAGAGGCAGAGTTGGGGCCAGGGCCATCTGGGAGTTACGTGCGGACTCCGGAGCCTCCAGAGTCGGACATCAGCGAGGCAGAGGAACGAGTGCGCGCATGTGCAGAGCTGCCAGAAGGCAAGAAATGTTAAAACAAAAGGGACGATTTGGGAGTAGGGCTTGGAGATGATTGGCCGCTCCCATAAGACATAAAGGAGGAGCAAAGGCACGTGAGCCCTTTGCAGGAAGGAACTGTTGTTTGTGCTGGCCAGTTTCAAGACTGCAGCTCTGTGTTGACTCTGTTCCGTGTGGCTTTGCAAAGTTAATTGCCAGTTAGGTCTTGGCAGTGTGACAAGGGATATAAAGGTGGGTGTTTATCACCATTATCCTGAAGAACTGTAGCCGATTTCTGTCAGACTCTTTACAATTATTTGAGACTGCTCTGTGAATGAACAGGCTCTGAATAAGCAGAATTCACAGCTGTGGAAATAAAAAGTGTTTTTGGGACTCATTCTGTGCTTTTATTGTATCAGGAAGCCTAGGTCAGAACAATACAGTCATTTGGATGGTAATCGACTTGTTTTCCAAGCAAGCCCACTTTACCCTCAGCTAAGAAACTGGCAAAAATGTTTATCAAGCAGATTTACCGGATTCCCCCACCAGGTAATCTCAGACCGAGGCATCCAATTTACCACTAAGTTCTGGAGGGAGTTCCTGAAATCAGTCGGGTCTACTCAGGGACTTAGCTTGGCTTTCCATCTGAATACGAACGGAGCTGCGGAACAAGCGAACGCAATGGTGGAGCAATATATAAAATGTCATGTGGATTACCAGCAAGAAAACTGGGCGGACCTGCTGCTGTTCACAGAAGTGGCTTACAACAATGCAGTACACAGCAGCACCGGCTTGACCCCCTTTCAGGGCACCAGCGGCATGGACTTTGTCCCCATGCCTGAGCTGCCCAGAGAACTACCTTCCTCCATGACTCTAACCGAGTGGATGGAGTCGCTAAAGAAGGATGGGAAGACATCCCTGGCAGAAGCCACTTCGGTGTATAAAAAACAAGCGGACAAATACTGATCTCTCCAGCCCCCCTTCCGTGTGGGAGATTGGGTTTAACCTATCAACCAAATACATTAAATTGAAATTGCCCAGTAAAAAGCTGGGACCTAAGTTTTTAGGACTTTTCCTAATAGTGAAAATAATTAACCCAGTGATAGTTCAGTTTAACCTCTCACATACAGTATACTAGGGAATGTGCATCCTGTTTTTCACTGCAATTTGCTAAAGCCGGCAGTTGGGTCGAGGCTGAGACCACAGACCCGACTGGCACCCAAGCCTATTGTGGTGCAAGGGGAAACCCATTATGACATTAAGAAAATCCTAGACTTTATATTGTATAGAGGTCAATTACAGTATCTAGTTCATTGGAAAGGGTACCCTTTGTGACTACTTGGGTTAAAAGTTGGGATGTAAAGGCAGAGAGATTAGTGAAACAATTCCATGATAAATTCCCTGATAATCCAAATTCCCTGTGGGGGGGAGAGGTGGTTAGGGAATATTGAATTAACCCCCTATATTCCTCTTATTGTAGGACACAATCATCAGTTGAGGGAGGGGCAGCCTGTCAGCCCTGGAGGCCATCTTCTTCTTTGGATTTTCAGGGCTTCCACACTTGGTGCTGTGGGAAACTGGGAGGGGGGTTGCATGGAGTTATAGATATATCTAACCATAATAACATTCTTTTCTCTGGGAGTCAAGGACATTCAGCCTGTACCTGGGGTGGCATGACTGGGAGGCATTTCCAGTTGGGACGGTGTATTGATTGGACCATGTGATGGACATGTGGGTGCAGGGGAAGGGACTTGGGCTTTCTTTTGGGTGGGGAAAACCCAGAAGCTTTCAGATTTGGGTTTTCCCAGATGTGCCAATATGACATGTCTAATAAAGTGGAACTTTGAGGAACTTCTAGTCTTGGAGTCTTCTTTCGTTGGGGGTGTTACTTGGAACCCTGACACACTCACACTCCCTCTCTCTCTCCCCATCCCCCCTCTCTCTCTCACACACACAGGGCTCCTCTTTGAAAAGACGATCGGTAGGAAAATCCCCCCCCCCGGCAGTTCACTTTCTGAAAGGGACCTCCAGAGGTTAGATAAGGATGGCGCGAGGCGCATGGGGTGCCTTGCTTGGTCTCCTGCTGCTTTTATGGCTGCAATCAGCTTCAAAAGTGGCCACACTTTTTGGAGAATGCAGCTGGAGCGGCACCCGGAAGGCAGCTATTCCGTAGACAGAATTGCCTGCTGTGACCATCACTGTTAGGTAAGGAGGGTGTGAGGCATGTGGGGCGCATTGCGTGGCCTGCCTTTGCAGACTTCAATGGATAATTAGAACTGCAGAAAAAACTGCCCTGGGAGCTCAAGAACCGGGCTGGGCATTTGCCCTCTGCTGCCTAGAGCTCTGACAGCTTGCGACCCCATCTGGTGGTCCTCTGTGTGGCCTGAGATGGATGGTGAGGCTTCTCTGGAGATCAAGCATTTGGCGCTCTCTCTGGTCTCACCTTCCTCCGCTGCAGACAATGGATCCCCCCTGGCCTTGCCTGGGCCACCACAGGTGCCCTGACATGAGTGACATTGAGCTGGCCACGCCCCCCCTCCGAGGTCAAACGCAACCCTGATGCGGCCCTCAATGAAATCAAGTTTGACAGCCCTGAGGTAGATGTATACATAACTGAGGGTCTCATTTATGGACAAAGTTGCAGCCAGTGATTCATGCTTAGAGGAATAATTTCATGGAAAATTGAGTCAGCTTGGTGATCCTAATTCACGTAGAGAAACAGGGTTTTTTTTATTGTAAGATGAGCAAAATTAGAAATATAGGCAGTGCAGTCCTATGGAGTTGTTTTCATTCACACACTCTGCAACAATTTTTACTCACATTGTCAATGAATTGCAGCATTGATTGAAAGAAATTTTAAAAAGTAAACTAGCTTTATGTTGGTGGGTGACACAGCCATTACTTATGAACTTTCAAGTTATGAATTTTCACTGATCCAAACAAACTTATCTACAACTCCAACCTAGAATGTCCCAGAAATTAGGAAAAGATTTGTTTACAGTGTGCCACATATATGTACGCTTGTTTGAACTTGAGAGAATAGAATAGGATAGGGATAGGGATAGGGATAGGGATAGGGATAGGGATAGGGATAGGGATAGGATAGGATAGGATAGGATAGGATAGGATAGGATAGAATAGAATAGAATAGAATAGAATAGAATAGAATAGAATAGAATAGAATAGAATAGAATAATTCTTTATTGGCCAAGTGTGATTGGACACACAAGGAATTTGTCTTGGTGCATATGCTCTCGGTATACATAAAAGAAAAGATACATTCATCAAGAATCATAAGGTGAGAAAAATGAACTTAACAGCGTCCCAAAACATAATCTAATAGTAATTAGAGCACTGTTGGTAAGTGCACTTGTTGAAATAAATACTTCTTATTGATTCCCCTTAGAGTCCACATTGCCACAGAACTCAGACAGTCATGTTGCAAAAACGTATGAGCAGAGAAGTTGTTCCAGTGTGAAGTGGCCATCCTCATCATCCAGCAGAAACCAAGAGATCTATAAGTCCAAGACTAAAATAATATGTCAAGAGACATAGTGCTGATCAACATTAGCAATGTATTAACCATCATGCACAAGACATGGCTGTCCTCAGTAGCTGGAATTTTTGTCCAAATTATGAAATTAGCATTCTGGTATCACATTGCAAGCTTTGTCCTCTACAAAATCTACTACTAGTGCTAATCATCATAATCAACATAATGGTGCAAATGCAAAAGTGGCAGAGATTGCATTGCCACATTACAATATATTAGAACATAGAATAACAAGGTTGGAAGGGACATTGGAGGTCTTCTAGTTCAGTTCCCTGCTCAAGCAGATCCTAGATCAGAGGTCCCCAACCTCCAGTCTGGATTGGAATCAGGCTGTGGCATGCGAGCAACTGGGCTGCTCAGACAGGTGAAGCCCCATCAGTGGGTTGCAGGCAGCACATAAAACCACGCCTTCTCCGGTCTGCAGAAAAACCTTTCTCTATGAAACCGGTCCCTGATGCTCACAAGATTGAGAACTGCTGCCCTAGACCATTCTGGACAAATGACTTCAATTTCTTTTTTAAAAACATGAGTTTGGAGCAGACATACCTTCTGAAGACAAACCGTTCCACTGATTAGCTGTTCTCACTGTCAAGAACTGGATTAGATCTCTCTGTGATAAATTTCCAACCATTACTTCTTGCCCACCTGGTGCTTGGGAGAATAGGTTGACCCCCTCCTCTCTGTCGCAGTTCCTTAAATATTGGAAGACTGCTATCAAGTCCCCCCTAGTCCTTCTCTTTATACTAGATCAGGGGTCTGCAACCTTAAACACTCAGAGCCATTTGGACCAATTTCCCCCAGAAAAGAAAAAACCGGGAGCCACAAAACCTGGGTGGGTGTGGCCAACTCAATGTCACTCACTTCCACCAGTCACATGACCCCCCCCCCAGCCATGTCTACCCAGCAGGTCATTAGGGCAGAGAACCAGTTTTAAAAAACACTGGGAACCACAAAACCTTTTTGACATCTCCCTCCCTCCCTCCCCCCCCTCTCTCCCTCTCTCTCTCCCTCTCTCTCCCCCTCTCTGTACCTCTCTCTCTCCCCGTCTCTATTTGCTCTGGCTGCTTCTCCATCCCCCACCGTCGCCCTTATCTTCTTAGGCCAGGCGAGGAGTGACTGGGCAAGGGGGGGGGGCAGCCAGTGGTGGGATCACTCAACAGGGAGCCACAGCGGAGGGCCCAAAGAGCCGCAGGTTTCTGATGCCCGTACTAGATGTACGCAGTTCATTCAACCATTTAGTTTTATCCTCCAGTCCCCCTAATCATCTTTGCTGATTTTTTCTGCACTCTTTCTAGAGTCTCAACATCTTTTTTGTATCATGGTGACCAAAACTGGACACAGTATTCCAAGTGTAGTAAGTAGTATTCAAAAGGAGTACTAGGAGGACCGGGAGTTGAAGTAGCTGTGGAGAAGTAATAAGTAATAGTATCTGAGTGTTCGCATGCATTGTCTAGGGATCTGTGTTGTTGGTGTCTCTAATGTTTTGAGCCCACCAAATTGGCTATAGTTAAAAGAACCTGTGACAATCATTATCTAGTAGTCTAGAGTTAATCTTAGTAACTTTCTTCACCTTTCCATTTACTTTCTGCTTTCCATTTACTTTCTGTTATCTTTAATGAGAGCAAGATTGAAATTATGTTCCCCGCTGTTTAAAACCTAGTTGTTAACTACTACTATGAATTAATAAAATACTTTTGCAGCATAGAGACTGCTTTATTTTTTTGTTCTTCCTGACAGTCTTAACTGGTGTTTACTCCATTTATCACATTTATAAGTAACACACTTAAAATAGTCAAGTCAAGATTCTTGCTGGATAAACAGTGACCTAAAATTAACCTTGCTGCATAGGAGCTGCTGTTACTTGATTTACAACTATTGGAAGACATGCGGTCAGTTCTTATCAGCAATTTATGGAAAGGGTAGGGATTATCAGGCAGCAGTGTATGGTAGATGAATGAGTGGTGCCTTTTCACACTGATATTAACCAGATCTTTTTCTAAGCAAAGCCCAATAAGTCAGGTTTTAAATAGTCTTTGTGATAGATGGATCTGAAAAAAGAGTGCATCAGTGCTAAATAAAAATGTTGATGGTATATTTGCCTGTGTGATGATTAATTGATTTTGGAGTGCGGTCTGGGAGCAGGAAGTGTACTGTTGTAGTGTGAAGTTTAAAGGTTACATTTTAAAGTAACATGTAAGGTTAATGCATTGAATTATCTGAACTGTTAAAACAACAGAATTGCCCTTGAGACTTGTTTTATTCCAAAGGATTCAAAAAGTTATATTCTCACAGTGATCCTGTTGGATAATGAAGACTTTTCCCTGGCAGATCAAAATAGTTCATCTCTTGCTTCTCAAAGGACAACCCTGCTCTGCTAGACCAAGTACAGTTGGTACTGAACCATAGGCTCAAAAAGGGAATGTGGAAAAAGAATATATTTCAGTCTAGCTCCATAAAAAATTCTGTCAATAATTCAGATAATGCTAAGACATATTTTGAACACTCACTTCTCAGGTCAGTCAATGTTTTAGATTAAACATCTAAAACCATGGATTTATAATATTTTTCAGAATGTGAACTGGAACCATCTTTGAGTACCCTTGGGGGTTGAATTTCTTAGAATTGGTACTGTACAGTATGATCAGATAAAAAAATGAAAATGTTTAGGCAAAGTGGATTGGTGTACATTCTTTTCTATTATAACTTCAATGTCCACTAATGTGTACTTCATGCATACCAGTTTCTTCCTGTATATAACAAGAACATTATGTAGTGTGAATTACCTTTTAGAATCAAAAGTAAAACACATCTCAAACTCTGATCTAGAGTAGAGATGAGCAACCCACTCAGCTCCTTTTTTGCAACCCTTGGTGTCCTTTGCTGAAATTTTGTGCTAATATGCCAAATTCTGAGAAGTAGGTATGTTTTCTCTTCCAATTTGCCCGTCTGCTGTTCAGCTGCTGGGAGAAAAAAATTGCTTGTGGCTGCAAAGTGCAGTCTGCCTTGAATTTGAGAAAGTTTTTAATGTTATAGCAATTTGAATAGTTCCAATATGTATTAAATATTATATCTTCTTAACTAACTGTGAACAAAATGTTCCCTCAGATCTTGATTCAATTTATGCTTCAACAGGGGAATTCAGTAGCAATCTTGCCATAAGTCTAAATATTCCTAATAATCATTTTATATGGCCAGAATTGGTATCAAATATTATATAACCACCCTATGCTTTTGCTAATTAATCTGTGCTGCAAAATTATTATCTTTATTTACAAGAAACCCCTGCCCCTCATAGGTTTTTAAAGACATTGTTACAAAATAAAGTATAACTGTTCTTGTATTCAAAGAAAAATTACAATGACAGATTGGGTGGTCGTAGAGCATTTTGGGGACTTGAGAGCATCCTAATCAGGTTAATTCTAAGTGAATGGGTGTTTTATGGCAAGCTGCATTCCCATAGTAGCCTTTTTGGTGAGAGCACAACATTAACTTTGCCTAAAAAAATAACAGATTTATTTTTGCCAAACTTAATATGGAAAAGTATTTTTCTTCATCTTTGAAAAACCATGACTTGTTTCATTAATATTCTCTGCATCTTCAATCTCTTAATTGGTTCAAGACTTCAAAATATATAACACATTGCTTTCTGTTTACATAAAGGGGTGTTTAAAAGTTTTTGAATCCTTTTGAATTTTCAATATTCCTGTCGAAATGTGATCTACAAGGGATATGTTTTCCACACAGGTCCTAAAACTAGTTAATGAGAACTCAGTTAAACAAAGGAGTCAAAAACATTATACTTGTTCATTGATTTCTTGGGGGAAATGAGCCAATGCTACATATTTGGGTGTGTCTCCTATAACAGAAATATGATCAGACTCTTTTGACACTTTGAATCTTGCTTTATTTATATTGTATATTTTCTAAGGCTCCACCATTCATTTCTAATCTTGTAGTTTTCACACAAGTTCTGCAATATTTATTCTAGTTATATATCCAACATTAAAAATAAAGATAACTTCTGATGATTTATGGAAGCGCCTGAGTAATTTTCTTGGCAAAAACATGGACATGTTTTACCACTGCCTTCTTTTAAAGTGTTTTACAGCTTCTCAATCCAGCTGACATCCTTGAAATTTCCTGGTGGCGCCCCTTGCAAAGACTAACTGGGACTAACCCATCTTAAAATGGGGTGGGGAGATGAACAGCCTAGATTGGCTAGGTTCTGCCACCTGCTGCAACATATCTGGTGTCGTTTTTATGCAATTATTTTATGTCATGACTGTACCTAAGAATTTATTTAACATTAGTAATTCATTCTTAGCATAGCTACAGATTCTTAGATTTCAGTTCACACTATTTATAAACACAATGCCAAAAGGAGTTAAAGTGAGCAGAATATCTTAAACCTCAGCAATGAAAATAGCCTTGAAATTGAAAATAGCACCTATAAAAATATGCTTTATTAAAAGAAATTAGATATATAAAATAGCAAGGATTAATATGCAGTTTCTGGTGCATACAGTGTGTAAGAAAATTGAAGAGACATTATTCCAATCCAATTCCTTTTTCTTCTGCTTAACAAATTAAGCAAAATTTTATACATTTCTACAATGAAACCTGAGATTATCATGCTCAATATGACACTTGTAATGCTTCACAGTACCTTGCAAGGTGAGGCTATTAGTTTAGTATTGTATGAGATTTTCTTGGCCTGTGGCTTTAAATTGGTAAAGTATATTTCAATTCTAATTAAACTATTTTGAATAGTTCAGAAATAGAAAGATACTATACCATCCTAGCCAATAAGCTATGAGATATGCTCTGCACCCGTCTTAGAAAAAGTTTTGAACAATAAAAAAAAAGCCTTGTGCAAGTGAAAGGTATTTAGAATACAGAAAATATGTAATTCAACTGATGAAGCAGGTTTCTAAGCATAGATAGTGCTGTGAGAATTAGTGTTTAGCAGACTGATGGCATGGGGGGAAAACTATATTTGTGTCTAGTTTTGGCATGCAGTGCCTTGTAGCAACATCCTGAGGGGAGAAATTGAAACAGTTTATGTCCAGGATATGAGGGGTCTCTAGATATTTTCTCAGTGCAGTATAAATCCCCAATGGAAGGCAGGCTGGTAGCAGTTATTTTTTCTACAGTCCTAACTATCTGTTGAAGTCTCTGCCTGTCCTGTTTGGTTGCTGTTCCAAACCAGATCGTCATAGAAATACAAATGACAGACTCAATAATTCCGATGTAGAACTGTTATCAGCAGCTCCTTGGGCAGTCTCGGCTCTTGAATTGACACAGGAAGAACATTCTTTGTTGTGCCTTTTTAATGACGATTCTAAAGTTAGGTGTCCATTTCAAGCCTGAGAGATTATAGAGTCCAGAAACGTTAAGGTCTCTACTGTTGATACTGTATTGCCTAATATTGTAAGAGGTGGTAGAATGGACGTTGCTTACCTGAACGTCTCTTCTGGGCGTGCTGCTGGAGAATCCAAGAGCGTGGGTACTTCCCTCAGTTAGGATGAAAATACTGAGTGCCTGTAGCTTTAAAAGATTGTTGACTCCGCCCTCGAGGCCTGGCTGAGGCTCAGTTTCTTTCACAAAGAAGGTCAACAAAGAGGTCCAAATGGAACAGGATACAGAACAAGATCGCCAGGGAGGGTTGGATTCTCCAGCAGCGTGCCCAGAAGGGACGTTCAGGTAAGCAACGTCCATTCTCTGGCGCGTTGCTTGGAGAATCCAAGAGCGTGGGACATACCCAAGCAAATGTCAATCAGGGTGGGAAACAGGTTGCTCCCTAGTGGCAGGATCAGAAATGACAGATTGTAGAACATGCTGTCCGAAGGATGCCTCAGCTGAGGCAAAGGAGTCAACCTTATAATGGCATATGAACGGTGTAAGGGATGTCCAGGTTGCTGCTCGGCAAATGTCTAGGATAGACGACTGGGTATCCCAGGCGGTGGTCATGGAGACGCTCCTCATCGAGTGCGGTAGGATACGGGCCGGCGGTGACATGTTCTGGAGCATGTACGCCTTAGCAATACACGCCTTGAGCCAGCGTCCAATTGTGGTCGAAGAGACTTTACGTCCCATTGACGCTGGTAGAAAGGAGACAAAGAGTGCCTCTGTCTTACGGAAGGGCGCCATCCGCTTGATGTAATGGCGGAGCGCCCGCTGGACATCCAGAATATGCCATTGAGCTTCACGCTGATGACGGGGCACGGGACAGAAGTCCGGGAGGATGAACTCTTGGGAGTGGTGGAGAATCAAATTTACCTTCGGCAAGAAGGAAGGATCCAGTCGGAGCACCACCCAGTTGGTGTGGAAAATACAAAGGTCCGGGCGGACGGAAAGAGCCGCAAGTTCAGATACTCTCCGGGTGGAGGTAATGGCGACAAGGAACGCCACCTTCAAGGTGAGAAAACGTAGGCCGGTGGAAGACAAAGGCTCGAAGGGTGCAGACATCAGGACCCGGAGGACCAAGGGAAGGTCCCATGTCGGGTATCGATGGACAACCGGGGGACGGAGGTTAGTGGCCCCCCGGAGAAAGGTCCGAATCTTTGGGTCCTGAGCCAAGGGAAAGGACGCCGCCGCCGGGAGGACGGTGTTGAGGGCAGCCACCTGGCGGCGGAGAGTATTGGGCGCGAGGCCCTTGTCAAAGCCGTCCTGCAGAAAACGAAGGATGGTGGAGACGGTTGCAG